AGCACTGGTTGCTTCTTTAGGACAGAATGATGAATGAAAAATAAGGGGGACCTAAACCTAAGCATTGACCAAAATCCCCTTTAAATTTAAATTATAATCAGAAAAACCACTAAAAACCAAACCCAAATCCATTCTCAAATAATTTTCCCTCCCCTTCTATTTGCCCAAAAAGTATTTTGTCTATAAAGGGTCAAACAAGCAAAAACAAGAAAATAAAGAAAATAGGCCGACTCACGGCCAAATCCGCTTTAAAAAATTTTTTTCTGAGAGATGATTGATTCATTTCATCCCGCAAATCCCTTTTTCCTTTTTTCAAAAATAAAAATTTTTTATTGGCCATTTAATTTCCCATTCATTCTCGATTTTCTTCAATTTCCTCCTCCTTTCCTCTCCTTTCCTTCTTTGACCGTTCATTGCGCGGGGATTAGCCCCCTTTCCCCCCTTTCTCCTCGTCGGGTTTCTTCAAAAAATAATGATGCGCGACAAATGGTGGACATAAAAACCAATATAGTATATTTATAGAATGATTATTATTTGGCAACAAATAGACGAAAAAATTTATAAACCTTCTCCTTTTTCATTCAGCGGATGCGCAAACACAGATTTTTTGTTGGTACTGGGAAAATAGGGGAGGAGGGAGGGAGCTAAAAGAGCTTCAAATCTGTTTTAATTATTTGCACGCTAATCAATTAATTTTCTCTCGATTCTTGAGGGTTCTTGGCTATCTATTTTGTATTTGCTGTAAGTTATTATAATTATCATGAGACCTATACAGGAAGCCTATCTCAATTCTTAGAGAGTTACTGACTGACATGTAGGCAGATCTAGTAAAACCTCAATTTTACCTATCACACAAATACATACCAGGGATCCGGTCCTCCGATTTTCGAAATGCGAATTTATTTTTTATGTCGCAAAATCCTAATACCTGGAATGGACCGGGTTATCTAATACTCGAAATCCGAAGCCCTAACAATTTTTGGATCCGAAATCCGAGTCTCCTCGAAAATTTTATAGTTATTATTTGCATACATCCAATTTAAATGATTGGTCTCAATGTTTATCAGAGGTGGGTCGGAATTCCGATTTCCGACTTCCGATTTCCGATTTCCGGCGTTTTTTCCTTTCGATTTCCGATTTCCGAAAAAAATTTTGATTTCCGATTTCCGAGTTCCGACTTTTGAGCCATTTCCGATTTCCGACAGTTCCGATTTCCGACACCTCTGACTGTTCCGACCTACCTCTGATGTTTATGCATATGTCCGAAAAAATTTTGTTATTTTATTTCCATAAAATTCATGCCCAAAAAATTTTCTGAGCTTTCGATATCAATTTTTCCAAGTTAATAAAAATATTTTTTCTTTATTCCATCAAGAATCCCCTCCTTATCTCCTTTCACTTTTTTGTATCTCAACTTTTCCCGAGAATCAAACCTCTCTAAATTTCATGTTCAAACACCTGTCTATATTTTCCTATTTTCTAGTCATCTGACCTGGAAGAAGATACTTTTCAATACCTTCACAAAAAAATTTTTTTTTGAAGAATGCCGATACTCTTTTGAAATTTCCTTTTGTGTTTAAACAATTTTTTCATGTTTCTCTTTTAACAATATTTAATTATAATACATCTATTATATTCATTTTATTATATTTTATTCTAATTATTAGTCAGGCAAAATATTATAATGGTCATGTTAATGCGCGAAAGTAATATTTAATGGTAGTGGGTGTTTATAGGAATGAAAGAACAATATCAAAAATAGTTCGAAATTCTACTTAATATACATTTTTTAATTAAAAAAAGTCTCGAAATTATTATAGTAAAATTATTAATGTGCCATTTTTAAATGACACTCATCTGGATTTATGTTTTATTTGAGTGGATAGTCTTGATATCATCCTTGATCTCTTTATATATCTCTTAATCTACCGATATACCACTCAATCCCTCGCTATCTTCTTTAATCCCTTGATATCTCCCTCAATCCCTCGACATATCTATTAATCATTCAATATTCCACTTAATCTCTCTATATCCCCCTTAGTCTCTTCATATCACTCTTAATCCCTCGATATCACTTTTAATCCCTCGATATCCCCATTAATTTATTAAATAAAAATGTTAAAAATGAGGGAAATGTCATTGAGATTTCCCTAGGGAAAATAATGTATGCTTAATAAACACCCCCAAAAATAGGGCTTTTATTAACATAATTGGCGTTAATTACATTAAAAATTATTTTGAAAAATTGTTGTTTTTGGATAAATTTTAGCTGAATTATAGCCCCACACATAAATTCCCGATAAAGGGAAATGGGGTTACCGACCAAAAAAACGGGAATTACCGTGGACCAGGCGAAATGGCAGCCTTATTTTCTGTAATCGAGCTCCACAATAAATTACGGCCCCACTAGTGATCGAGATTTTTGAAAAGCCTGGGCCAGGAAAAACCCAGGAAGGTCAAAAAATGCCTGGGCCTGGACTGGGTACAGGAAAACCTAGGCCTTGGACCATGTCCAGCTCGATCTCTAAGCCCTACACATAAGAGCCCCCACTTTTGAGGGTAGTTGAAAAATAGAGCCTCCGTTTAATAAAGCCTGGTGCTCGATTACAGTCCTAATTTTAATCAAAGGGTACGGTATATGCAAGAAGTACAGTAGAGATCAAATATTTGTCCACAATTCTTGTCCGCAAATGAATTTTCTGTCCGCAAATAATTTTTTTTCTTGAATTTTTTCTACTTAAAAAAATAATTAAAATCTCTCTTCTAATTTGTCATTTAATTAAAGACATGCCCAAATATTAAATAAATAAAAATAAATTTATTCCACAGATGTTTCCTCATTTTTTATTGCAAAATCTCGGCAGTTTTCTGGACATATTTTTTCCCACTTTTATTTTACTTGAAACCACAATTAAATGAAAAAAAATTTCCTTTATTTATCGTGTTTCTCTTCAAATAAAAATAATCAAATGTTATGTATCCCACTTCCTTTTTTCCTTTCCCTTTTTTCTCATTTTTGTCACATTTTGCCAATCGATATTTTGCCAACAAGGGTAAAACCTTCCATTTTGTCACAGTCTTATTGGCAAAACGTAAAATTTTAGCCTTATTGGCAAAATGTCGAATTGGCAAAATGTCGTCTAATTTTATTTAAACGCCCCAAAACCACTTGTTTAGCATTTGTCCAATCTCGTCTTTTAATTAAATGCCGTCGGCACTAAATACATGTTTACAAAAGTGCTAAACATGTATTTATTTAAAGAGTGTATGTGCAATCCAATATTAGTTGTTGTTGTTTATTTAAAAATACTCTAGGGATATTTTAGTAAATTTCGCTCCCTAAAGCAATTTAAAAAGGAAAGGATAAACAAGAAAAATTTATAAATTTAAAAAGAGGATTAGAAATTTTAATTATTATAAGTAATTTACGAAAGGGGGAGGGTCGAATCCTTATTGTAAAAACACATCAAAATTTTAAGATGTGTTTTTTAAGATTTATTTGGCCAATGGGGCGGTGGAGCTGTCTAAAGAAATACCCCAGTTTTTAAGATGCCTCTCATTTAGGGTTGTCGGTCCTGGACCGAACCGAACTGAAGAACCGAGGACGCATATTCCATGGGACGCATAAACTGGACTAGTGCCTTTAAAATTTAGTTGGCCAATGGGCGGTGGAGCTGTCTAAGCTATACCCCCAGTTTTTAAGATGCCTCTCATTTAGGGTTGTCGGTTCTGGACCGAACCGAACCGAAGAACCGAGGACGCATATTCCATGGGACGCATAAACTGGACAAGTGCCTTTAAAATTTGTTTGGCCAATGGGGCGGTAGAGATGCCTAAGCTATACCCGCATTTTTAGGACACCTCTCATTTAGGGTTGTCGGTCCTGGACCGAACCGAACCAAAACTTTTTCGGTTCTTCGGTTCGGTTTCGGATATCCGAAGAATTCCAGGAACCGACAACCCTACTCTCTTTATATTTTTAGGCCTAAAGGCTTAAAAGTTTTGTCTATCTATAATAAGGAAGGTCCCAGTCCTGATATCTTGAGGTTATCTAAATTGAACCGAAAAATCATCGGGTCTTCGACAATCCTTGTTAAGGAGCTGCTTAAGCGACGTTAAGAGTTCTTAAGTTATTGTGATGAAATGTGTTACTCACCAGTGCTGGGTATGGCTCCGGGAGCTAGCTCCGGAGCCGGAGCTAAGATTTTGAAAACCCCGGAGCCGGAGCTGGAGCCAAGAATTTATATGGTCGGAGCCGGGCCGGAGCCAACAAATGGCAAATACTTAGCACTGTTACTCACTCATAACTTTTGGGACAACTACAGTATCAAAACTAATAGAGGAATACATATAAAATCTTTCTGCCATACATTTTGAGCTTCAGGGTCTCATAATTAGCTTAACTTCAACTTTAATTACCTCGCTAATATTTTTTTTATTTTTTATTTTTTTGTGTTCTGGCTAAACAAACACACATTTTTAATAATAATATCTTGGTTTATCTATTCAGTCAATTTACCACTCCCTCAATTTTTTTTCTTCTTACAATACCTTATTTTTCTATCTTTAATTCCCTTTTCTTAATAGCCCTTTTAATGCTTTTCGATGATTCTTCACAGTTTAGCCACCATAAGTAAAATAAGAGAGAAATTTTGGGGGGGGGGGGGAATTTTGGGGGAATAAAAATGAGCAATAGGGAGAGGAAAAGCATTTTTGGGATGAAATGTCTCTCTTTCCTCAAAACTCTTGGGAAACAAATGCAAATAATATAAAATAAATATAGATAGCTTTAATGCCATCCAACAACTGATGAGTAAGTCTTTTAAAAACAAGACTTATACAAGAATAGGGTAGGGGGACGTTTGGGCGTGATAATAAGAGGGCGCGTTTGTTTATGAATTTGGAATGAATACAGGTTTTGAAATTTGGAAAATTTTTTTGTAAGACCTGTTGAAATTTACAGGAATAAAAAAATTGAAAAGCTAACGGATTGTAAATTATAGAAAAAGTTCGCAAAAAATGTCCGCAAGAAAAGTCGTAAAAAAAGTCCGCAAGAAAATGTCCGAAAGAAAAGTCCGCAAGAAGCTACCGTAATTAAAGTTTATTTGAAGTTTCCACAAAATTGTGCACTCAAAATAGTGTCCGCAATTAAAGTCCGCAAAAAACAATATGCAAATAGTCCCCCTAAGAAATTGTCCGCAAATAGTCCCCGTAAAAATTGTCCGCAAAAATTGTCCGCAAATTAAATTGTCTGCAATATATTTGTCCGCAAATATCCGCAATAAGGTTGGCGGATAGTTGGAAATTTTCGGATATCTAGATCCGGCATCCGAACCGAAAATTCCCCGATATCCGACCTTTTTCGGATCCGGATCCGCCAACCTTAGTCCGCAAACTTTTAAAAAACACAATTTCCTACACATCCCATAATATTTCCTAATTTCTAAACAACTTTACCAGACCCTAATTTGCCAAATTTATACTTACTCCCAACCATTACCGCGCCAAACATGCATTAGGAGAACAAAGACAAACAATCCTGAGAAGCTTTCCCTCCCCTCAATTTTAAATAACCAACCGGGCGGAATAGTAAAAGCAAACAGATACATAATATAACACACATTTATATTTTTTTTGTTCAATTTCTAAAAACCAACCACTCATCTTCCGACCATTTTCCAAATCCTCAAAATTTTTGACTGTTTCCCTCTTTCATATATAAATACAACCAACGACTAGTGTAACATGAATAAGACTTTTATTTCTTTTTATTTTTGTGGAGGGCTTACTGTCATTTTAAAATAGGTATATATTTGTAGTTAAAAATTGGGAAAATTATTTTTAAAAATATTTACCTCAAACCCTGTCCAAGGCTAGAGGATACAGAGTATCAAGATTAGAGTTCAGCGGTATCGGGATTTAGAGAATAAACCGGGATCAGGATTTCGGAATGATGATACCGACTTTGATCCCGGATCCCGACATGTGATCGGGATTGGCCGAAATAGGGATCGGGAGTCGAAAAATCGGGAGTCGATCCTGACCGGAATCCCGATTCCGCTGAACTATAATCTGGATCCGAAAAAAAGTTCTCAGTTTTCGGTTTAAATACCGGATCTGGATGGATATCAGTGGATTTTCCATGATCTGCTAAACTTAGAGCTACTTATAATACGAGATTTTTACCCCTAAATGATCCTATGGTTTTTGACCATTTCGAGCCCTATATCTTTGTCCACAGGCATCTCCTGGGAAAAAGAAGGGTACCTTTAATTTTATTAAACTCAGCACCTTTTATTGCCCTATATATGGCATTTTGAGCATTAATATAGGGGGGTTGTAACAAAACGGAAAAGTACCGAAATGGCTATCCCAGCTGATTTACTGCATATAGAAAAATAAATTAGTAGTTAAAAATAAATTCAAATAGTTTTGCAAAGCTCTAAAAACTTGAAATAAATAAAGGAATAAATTGTTAGCGCAAAGGGATTTTAATGGGAATTTTAATTCTTTAGTCTAGTGGATCCGCTCTCTGTTCATTTATTAAATTCGACGGAGGTTCGACCCCGTCTGAGTCCCACATTTATTATCTCCTTTATTTATCCTTTTAGAGTTGTTTTCTAGTTATTTTAGAGACCAATCCGGCACAAAACTTATTGCTATATCGAGATTTCACCTTAATTTTATTCAATCATAAAATTTTTGAAATTTTCTTTTTTCCTCTTTTTTGGGTTTTCGCAATTATTAAATACTCCTTTTTTATTTTCCCCATTTTTTACCTGTCCTCATCATCATTTTATTTTTTTGTTTTTTGACAATAAAATCTATCTACCTACACACATTTACGCAACTTCCCGTGCCAATCGAGCGTCTCCTTTTATTTCAATCGAGAAAAGAAGATAAAAAAAGTCTTTATCTACTTAAAATATTACTTTACAAACAGACTTATTTTTGATATAAACAAGTTAAAAAGACTAGCCGACAATTATTATGATGCCAACGATCTCTTATTTAATGCCCCAAAAAATCTCGATGAACGATGGGGACGAACGGAAGGGAGAAATTTTTTTGGAAGGAAAAATAGGGAGATGAATTAACCCTCCTCTCTTCCCCATCTCCTCATCCATCCCCTTCTCTTCCCTTCTCTTCCCCTCTTTCCCCTCCCTCTTCCCCCATCCATCCCCTCCATCCTCCCTCCTCTTCCTCCTACTCTTCCCTCTTCCTCTCCCATCCCCCTCCTCTTCTCCCCCTCGATCCCCTTCCCATCCCCCTACTCTTCCTCCCCCCTCTTCTCTCCACAAGATTATTTATTCACTTATTGAAGAAGGAAGCAACTTTAAGGCAACTTGGAGGGATGCAAAAATAAATTTTTGCTTTAAAAATGCCGACAATTTATGAGGAGGCCGCTTTGATTGCTTCCAATTCTCGGTCCTTTACGCCTAATTTAGTTTACTCTTTTTCTCATAAATATTATCTATTTATCAAGACAAAAATTTTAATGATCGAGAATTTTTTAATACACTGTAAACCCGAAAAAGGAAGCCCAAAAAAAGCCCCGGCAGCTCAGTTGGCAGAGCACCTGAAGGTCCCCAATAACTGCTTAATTTTTACCTATATGTTTTAATAAAACCCTCCCTAAATGTTCTTTTTCATTAGATCATCGAGTGTGAGGACATCTATGTGAAAGCATGTACTGACATCTATAGTATTTGCTCGAGTTTATGCCCAAAATGTCTTTATTTTCACATTAATATTTCCTCAATATTTTTTCGATAAGTACCATATCACCCCATATTTTCTCGATTAATTACTCTGAGTATTAATTATCTTTTCAGTCTACCATTGAAGAGGCTAATTAGTCAAACCACCTCTAGCTAGAGGTTGTGGTTATTTAAGGGGCGTTTATTAGAGATCGGTCTGGATCTGGATCCAGTCTGAATTTTTCATGGATCCAGATCCAGAATTCTGTTCAGATTACTAAACTAAATCCAGAATCCAGATCTAGGATTTCTGGAAAAAAAACAAGATCTCTAGTGTTTATTCGGCGGGGGCATTTAATAAATATTTTTTAAATCATTGTCGAGATCTAACGAAGGCGTGATCTCTTTAACTCTCGTTCTCGAGATATCGCTTTCGACTCTCAATCAACCCTCATCCCCAGTCTCTATATTCTCTCCAAATAATAATGAACCTATAGCTAGAGGTTTTGGTTAATCAAGAGGGCATTTATTCGAGTGGAGGGATTTAATCGAGAAAATAACGGCCTGATCTCTTTAACCCTCGTTCTCAAGATATCGATTTCGACTCTCGATCATTCCTCATCCCCAGTCTCTATATCCTACGCAAATAATAATATTTATACAAAACAATCAAAAAATGTTTTTCCATGCATTTATGGGTCACTAGTTATTTTTCAACTACTAGTCGGTCTAAACAAACAAAAAAACACATAACAAAAAAGTATCCGTCGCGATTTCATTTTTTTCTCATTTTTTAATTCGTCAATAGCTTTGGCATCATAACGGAAATATATAAATTTTATTTATGTTTTTTGTCGGTATTTTTTCTATTATCTCGTTATTATTATTATTACCCTTCTGTCAATTGCCATTTCCGCTTCGATGTCTTCCTTTTTTTGGAAAAAAATTTTTTTTAGTAACCGTAATTTATGTGTTATTATGTTTTTTGAATAAACTCCCACCTACCTTCCTAATAAATATTTTATAAAGTTATTTTGAGGTTGTGGGACAATATATCCGTCTTGAGACAATTTATCCCTTTATTTGGGTATACTGTATTTTATGTAAATTTTTTTTGCTAGAACTTTTTTATCATTAATCGGATGAGTAGTTGATTTTTACTCCTGTCCAATCCCTAATTTATTGGATATAAAAATAGGACCGCTCCTGGATTAGGTTTTAACTTGAAAGCAAGTGGAACCAGGTCAGGCCGCCTCAAGCCTAAGTATTCCGTCGCAGGGGGGTTTTTCGAATCCCGAACTCCATAGTATTTATTGCGCATTCCAATTGGCATCGAACCATATTAGGATGTCTAGGATCAGAAAAATTCTAGACAAAGTTATCGCCTTAATGACAGGACTCATGACGGATCGGGGGATATTCTTCCTGATTTTCTGTGGGATTTTTATTAAATTCATAAGATCATTTTACCGATCCAATCATTTTTTAATGAGAAGATTTTTTATTCTTTTATTTACTCAAAATTAAAAATTCCCCCATTTATTAAGCATTTTTTCTAAAATTTTTAAAAACATTTATTCATTTATTTACTGTTTGCGCGCCTGGTGTAATTGTGATATAATTTAAGAAGGGTTTTATTCTCATTTTCCTTACTTGGATGAATGACTGAAAAGAAAAAAAAATAAAGGAGATTAACTTCACATTTTCTCACTCAAATCCTTTATTTTGTGTCTTTTAACCCCTCTGTTGGATAAATAAAAATTCTGTGCTTAAAAATATTTTTCTTTCCCCCCCCAAGTTTCCAAAATTCTCACACACATAAAATCTTTCAAAAAAAAATTTTTTTTATTCATTCAAGTGCCCCCATTTTTATTTATTATTATTTACACGCGCAAACAACAAGATACTTGGGTATTAAAACTAAAAAGATTAGCTTAAACAAAAACAAAACTTGAGAGGGGAGGGTTTTGGAAAAATCCTGTAGAGAAAGTTGATAATTTAGGCGATTTAGAATTTATGAGAGAAATTAATAAGGGGATTCCTCTGATAGAGGAGGGAACTCCTCTGATAGGGAACTCCTCTGATAGGGAAATCCTCTGATGGAGGACTCCTTTGATAGGGGATTCCTCTGATACTCTATCAAAGAGTTTAGTATTTATAGGTATTTGTATTATTCATAAATGTGGTTGTCAGTTCGAACCGAATTTTTTGCAAAGTAAAGGAGTCCGGTTCCGGCTATACGAAGATTTTCAAAAAATCGACAACCATATCAATAAATGCTAATCAAATAAAGGGGTGGTTATTTCATTATAGAGTCTTACTAGTTGAAGGGATGCTCTATCATAAGGAATGCTCTATCATAGAGAGGCTCCTTTTAAAGGGGTTCTTTGAGAGAGCATTCCATTGGAGAAGGTGTTCTGAGACTATCCTTGAAGGAACGCTCTAGCATAAGGGTTCCATTATTAGAGAGAGGCTCCTTTCGGAGGTGGCTCCTCTAATAGAGAAGCCTTCCACTGGTGAGGGTATTCTGAGGCTATCTTTCTATCAGAGGAATCCCCTCATTAGCTTCTCTAATGGAGGAGTCCTTCTTCCACCGGAGGGACTTTGAGACTGTTCTTATATTAGATAGATGCTTATTTTTTGTCTTTATAGGTAATAAATTAACACATATTTTCTAATTCATTTTACTTAAATTTTATTATCCTAACACTCTCTCAATCAAAAATAATTTTTCACTCCCCCAACTTTTTGCCCTTACTTTAAAACTTAATCCTTTATTATCCATAAATATTAAAAATCTTACCAAGTTTTCACTCTTCCTAATCTTTCCGTTTATTTAAAAAACAATTTTTATTGACCAAATGTACCTTAAAAATATTTATTTTTATGTATTAATTTTATTTAATAT